AGAGAGAGAGAGAGAGAGAGAGAGAGAGAGAGAGAGAGAGAGAGAGAGAGAGAGAGAGAGAGAGAGAGAGAGTTGCTATTCCTTTGTTCATCGCAAAACGTCTGCTGAACTTCCCGTGCGGCTGTTTGTGGCTTTTGCCCCAATGTATTGTGATGTGAGGCAACAATCATATTCTGAAGCCTGTTATCTGCTGACCTCCTTTTAGAGGCGAGTGAGTGGAACATCTTCCTTCTGGGGGGTTCGAAATTGCAAGATATCTCATGATGAAAGAACCACTGATGTGAGAGTGCTAGAAGGGGCCGGGGGGGAGGGGGGAGGGGGGAGGTGGGGGGGTAGAACACAGGTCTGAACAGACCTGAAAAACATGTCTGAAAAATAGTGCCCTTTGTCATGTCAAGTGTAGAAGAGTGCTAAATCACACTGAACACAAAATGACCAGACGACTCACACATGAGAGACAACATGCTCAGTTAAAGAATATAGCTTACTTAAAGCAAAATGCTGCAAAATATCTTAGTTGAAGAATATAGCTCTAGGCTACCAGCCGGGCTGCTCGGGTGATCCTATTTTCCCGGGCGGCCCGGCCGTGCAAAGACTAGGGAAGGTCATAGCAAAAAAAAAAAAAAAAAAAAAAAAAAAACCGGAAAAAAACTATGTCACGAAGAAAAATAAACTGAACAACATTTGCCTCAGGGTCACATCGAAATTCTTTACCAAATTTAAAATAAAATTTTAAATTCAAACTTTCATATTTTTCTATTTCTTTATTTCTTTTTGGCCCGGCCGGGCAAGTGGACCCGGGCCACTCTGGTAACCTAGATATCGCTTAGTTAAAACTGAAACTTAACAAAAAAACAAAAGAAGAAGAAGAAGAAGAAGAAGAAGAAGAAGACAAAGACAAAGACATACATACGGCGGCTGTCCTAGTTCAGTTGGTACACCCATGAATTGCTGTACTGCAGAAAATACACACCTGAGTTCGAATTCCAATGGAATCTGACGACTCAGAGAGTTAAAAGTTAATTTGGAACTTACTTGGGGCCGGTCAGGTCCATGTCAACGATGGCACCTCAAGGCCATCTTCTTCCTTGAAGTTCCAAAAAGAGAGAAGAAGAAAGGACTACAAGGTACTGGAAAAAAGGAGGAGAAATCACTGATCAGTGCCCCAAAAAAAAAAAAAAAAGGAAAAGAAAAGAGTAAATAATTACGAAGATTCGAGAGAATTTTTTTTTTGAAATTTGTGAAAAAAAATTGAAAGCAGAACACTTCCCAACAGTCAAAACTCAAAAGCTGGCCAAAAAAATAATAAAAATAAAGAAGTCTAAAGGTGACAAAAAACTGGAATAAGACCAAGTCATGTATACGTGTCACAACCTATGCAGTGTGTTTGCTCCCTTCTGATCTCCAGTGGTGGGAATGTTTTTTTTTTTTTTTTTTTTTTTTTTTTTAAACAAACCATTTTATTACCATCCAAACAGGAGGAGGCCGGGGACCTCACACAAATCCACCCGGAGTTATCCCGGCAGCATCAGCCAGTTTAGCTTAACAGAGTAACCTTACTCACTACCACTTGCACTCATGTCCTTTTGCCAGCAAACCCCTGATCTTAACCACAGGGCCTAGTTGTACCAAGCTGACACCGAAAGAACAACACTCTGAGACCTCTGTCCTAACTAATACTTGTTGTGAATTTCAACTGAGATTTTATTTGCCCATTTAAATGATTTAAACATATACTACGGGAATGGGTATGGGAAGGCCATCATAGAAGTAATAGAATGCCATTGTGGGAATGAAGAGAGTGGAAAATGGCTACAGTGCCGAGCCGCGTTAAGACCAACAAAGATATTAATTGAAAAGTCATAAACACTGTCAGGTGGATCAGTGTCAGTGACTCTCCCCTGCAGGGGAAACTGCCTTAAAGTTTGGATTTTTTATCATTTTTCAGGATTTTACCTAGGCTCCCCTTCTCACTGCCTGACTACCGCCACAGAGGATTACAATTGCAGATATAAGGGCGTAGTAGCTCCACTACTCCGGAAATGCACGAAAGACAAAAATCATGGCGACGTATCTTTCCTTGTTCTGGCGGAAGATTTCACTCTCATTTTGCACATTTCGAGAGAAGTGGAGGGAGGGCCATAAGGGCATTGCCAGACTTGTCAGGAAAAATGTGAAAGAAGACAAAACCTATGGCGGCATTGGCGGGTGCATCTTCCTATGCTTTTGCAGAAGAGACGTGTTCCATTTTGCACATTCTGGGAGTCGTGTGGCGAGGCCTATAGTCCTCAGATGTCTGCGGACCCCAGACTGGATCGTATCCCACTCAGGCCTCGAGCAGAAAGGAAGGTTGTCGCCTCTCTTGTCCTACTGCTGTTTGAATAGGGGCAAAAGATGGGCCACATTGGAGCACTGTCTTCTGGTGAATGCCCAAATGGTAGCCCAAACAAGGCAATGGTGGGATGCAGCGTGGCAAAAAAAATAAAAATAAAAATAAAAATAAAAATAAAAATAAAATTATAAAAATAAAAATAAAAATAAAAATAAAAATAAAAATAAAAATAAAAGGTGTGGCACTACCTGACATGGTCCCACTTGCCGAGGAATGTCAAAAACCTTACTCCTTGGAAAACTACCCACTTCAAAAAAAAAAAAAAAAAAAAAAAAGGAAAACTACCCACCTAAGCCACACAATGGACCGCATTTGAAGTTTCTTTCTGACTATGTTTGAACTTTAAATACACGAGACTTGCATGAGACTTACGCCGCTGATGTGTACAAGATGGACGGCAAGATCTTCCTCCAAAAGGAAACAAGATGATGTTGGATTCATGCATGCAAAGGCAGTGACTGTCCTGCTGCACACAAGATGTTTAAATACACCAGACTTACTTAAGGCTGTCCTGCTGCAAACATTCTGAAAGAATGGAGGTCCCTGAAATAGGACATCGGAACAGGGCCAGATAAGGTGAACAGGAAAAAAAAAAAAAAAAGTTGCTGTGACAACCAACCTTACGCCTGGCACGACTTTCTCCTTGGAGTAGACGAGGGACCAGAAAGTGTGAGAAAAGGGGTGTGCCAAGGATTTTAGGAAAAAAGGGTTGGAGTCCCAGGTCCGAACCTAGGCTACCAGAGTGGCCCGGGGTCACTTGCCCGGCCGGGCCAAAAACAATTAAACCACCATGCACTATGGAATCACCATTGGGGTTATA